TATTTGTTCTTCGTGTATAGAGTGGAGCTATTTAGTACAGAAAAGTAAAAGGAGAAGGGACAATGAGAAGTTGGTTTCACTTCTTAACTTCTCTCTCTCTCTCTCTCTCTCTCTCTCTCTCTCTCTCTGATTCTTGAATTAGCTCTTCCACTGTCCCTCTAAAACAAATATAATTTTGTTGTTGTTGTGTATTTTCCTTTGATCAGCATAAATGGCTGCTAATAAATTTGCAACCATGTTACATAAAAATACCAACAAGATCACACTTATTCTTATCTATGCAATCTTAGAATGGACATTAATAATTCTACTTCTCCTCAACTCTCTCTTCTCCTATTTGATCATCAAATTTGCCGAGTATTTTGGCCTAAAACCACCTTGTCCATTATGTTCTCGAGTTGATCATCTGTTTGATCAATATGGAAATAGTAAAACTTTGCGCAAAGATCTTTTATGTGAAGATCATGTCACAGAGATTTCCAAATTGGGATTCTGTTCAAATCATCAGAAGTTGGCTGAATCTCAAGATATGTGTGAGGATTGCTCGTCCTCGCGCCTTGAGATTTCAGAGAATTCAGCTTTGTTAGCATGGATGGATGAGATTAAGTTGATTCAAAATGGTAAAGAAATTAGTGTGGAAAATGGTGAGGTGAGTGTGATGTGTTCTTGTTGTGGTGTGAATTTGGAGAGCAAATTTTCAACTCCTTATATTTTGATTAAGCCTTCTTTGGATGATTATTTGGCATATAATCAAAAAGGTAATTTGATTATTGAAGCAGCAGAAGATGATGATCTTATGGATAAAGGTAAATGATTTTGAATAAAAGGAAAGATACAGATTTTTCAAAGTAGAAGAAAAAAACTGAACATCAGGTTATGTCTGATGTTTATGTGCCTAATTCTGAGGTTAAAATGAAAGATCAAGCTGTTCAAGTTTGTGAGAATGAGGAGTTATGTTTTGAATTTTCTCCTCAGCATTTGGAATTCATCTGCAGTGGTGATAAGTTGGTTCCTATTGAATTGATTGATTCAACAACTGATGAAGATCATAGCAAAAACCAAGAAATGGAAGAAAATCATAAAAAGAGTGCCAAAGAATTTGAATTTGTTGTAGAGAACAAGATTCTTCAAGTGGAGGAAGAGACAGCAGTTTCTGAGCTCAAGAGTGAGGAGGAACCTGAATTTGGATTTCTTGAATCCATGGAGGTAGAAGAAGAAGAGATTGGTTTGGTTTTTTGTGCCANCTCTCTCTCTCTCTCTCTCTCTCTCTCTCTCTCTCTCTCTCTCTCTCTCTCTCTCTCTCTCTCTCTCTCTCATTTCGATCGGTCGATGAGAAAATAGAAATATAGAACAAGAAGTTTTTCCTTTGCAACTACATAGGATAATTTTCTAATTCAAATTTTAATCATTACTAAGTTGAATCCCTTCCATTTGAAAAAAGTCTGTCTTGCTTTGTCTTCAAATATGATTTGCAGTGATCTTGTGAAACAAGTGCCTTTCAGCTCTTATTATGTCATATTTTGATTACTGAGACAAGCATGTGGTGAAGCTTTTTTTTTTCTTGGCATATTTGGTCTTACTGGGCATATAAATTTGTCAAAGCATGCATTCAAGTTCTAAAAGCACTTATCTATTTTCAGCTACCTCTGCCCTACCTAAAGGTTGGATATCTAACTGCACCACCTGCTGGTAGTCCGCTTGCACCACACAGTGACTGGAAGCGTTCTCAGTTTGTTTTGAATCATGAAGGACTTCAACAGGTAAAAAAAGTCCGTGCCTCAGTTTGTAAGCAAAAAATACACAATATTTTTATGGGAGACGAGCATTGTTGTTTTCTTCTTCATGGACAATAATCTAGTTCCATGTGAAAACATGTCTTGCATTCAAAACTCATGCTATGAGATTTCAGCATATTTATAATGGCATAACTCAATTAAATTGTTTTCAACTATGGAAAAGTATCATTAGATCACGTGATAGAACCTTACTATTGTTAATCTTTTTTTACATGATCCCTTTGAACTTCTAGCCTTCCATATCACTTATATTAAGCCTACCATTTCACAGGTTTGCAATTATTTTGCTTTTGTTATTTTTCCCTTGTTATCAAGTTCTATTTCCCACTTGAACTGAAGAATGTTCTATTTCCCTAAAGGTCAACTTTAAATCCATTTGATGCGCACGAAGTGGTGTTTTCTTTTGGATCTATGAAGTAGATGACAGGAAATTATTGCCTTCTAGAAGGATTGAATGTTGTTCTTGCTCGTTTAATTTGATGCGTAATCGTAGTTTCTTTACTAGTAATTCATTTACCTACTTGGACAGATCAGTAAAGTTGATCAACGACACATGTCAGGAAGCCTTTCATCAAATTCAGCAGATACGAGTCCTAGTAGACAAGCAATTAAAGTTGATGTGCCAGATATCGTCTCTGTATCATCCTGTGCTGATCTTACATTACCGCCTGGTGCAGGCCTCTGCATTGATACGATTCATGGGCCAGTTTACATGGTAATTCGTGACACTTTCTCTGCTTACATTTCCCTCTTCTGATGTTTGGGGGACTACTTCTAATAGTCATTTGGGCTCATGATGAGATCTGCCTAAGAGAACTATACAGTTTGATTATGATATTCTCCGTTGCTGGTAATCAGTGTCAGATTCAATCCTCTGCGAGCCTATAAATTGGAGACAGCAGTATATATGTTTCCTAATTATTTGAAAGGCAGTCATATTCTCTGACAACATGGGCCAAGACATTGAAAATTATAAGTTAATTTAAGGATTATTTTAAAAGGAGAGTAACTATAGTTGTAATTTGTCAAGTAAAGCTAATGTTTTCTGTGTAGGATGTTTTGAATGCTTCCATTAGCAAATTATCAAGATTTTTAAGAAGTCATTGCTCCCTTTACAGAATGGGCCCATGCTTTCATAGTGCCTTTTGCCTATGTGTTAGGATTTCTATGGATACTTATTAACATCAAACCTCGGCCCACCCTTTACTGTCCTTGACCTGTTTGCTGTGGTGACCCACTCACTTTCTTCATCTTGTACAGCAAATTGGCTTAGATACATATACCTTTAGACAAGAGTTGGCTTTTATGCAAGCAATCTACCTCCACTTTTGATTATGAGCCCGTTTGGATGGGCTTGTTTTAAGTCAAAATAGCTTTTAAGCCATAAGTTAGGAATTCTAACTTTTGGCTTTTGGCTTGTTTTTGTCATTTTAGCTTAAAAACAAGTGCTTAAAAGCACTTTTTTACTTTATCCAAACACTACAAATTTTGGCTTAAAAGCACTTAAAACAAGCCAATCCAAACGGGCTCTATGTCAAATCTACCCTCTCTCAATCTCTCTCTCTCTCTCTCTCTCTCTCTCTCTCTCTCTCTCTCTCACACACACACACACACAGAGCACATGCCTACTTTGATAACATCTGATAAGACTGCATTTAGGTGTCTTCAGATATTACCTAATCTTTGAACAGGCCTGTTATCATATCTTTCCCTCACACTTTGCCCACTCAATCATCTTTCCTCTCTAGCCTCTCGATTTAAAGATTATCAGCTATGGGTAGGACTTGTTCCCGGGTTCTTACAAATATGCTACAGTTATTTGGATAACTTAAGCTACCGTCACATGCCAGAGGTGGCATATTTAATTTGTCTGGTAAACAAAAAAAAATGGTTCAAGATGTGAACATGAACATTGTGTACAGGTTGCCATTCTTCTTATTCCTGGAAACATTTACTCGTTAATTTTATGTTGTCCATGATTTTCCCCTCGTAGGAATGGGTGAGGGTGGGGAAATGTAGTTTGAATATTAAATATGTTCATTTTAAGATCAATCTTTTGATGGGAAACCCTTTTAAGTCTTACATTCTCCTCTTTTTGGACTTTAGCATTTTACATTCCCTGAAAAGTTTCCTTGTCGTATAATCTCTGACATTGTTTTATTTCTCAGATCGCAGACTCATGGGAATCTTTGGACTGGTGGCTTGATGCGATTCGTTTGGTTTACACAATAGGTGCAAGGGGCAAGAGTGATGTTTTGGCAGGCATCATCACTTCATAAGCTTTTTGCCTTTGATTATATGATCAACATCGAAGGTGGTATTCCTGCTATAGAAGCCTGATTTATTAGCCTCTTGGAGTCTGCAGCTAATGTACACTTGTATATTATTCAATTTTTCTTATGAAATGAAGTTCATCGAAGTTCCTCTTTTGAGCGGATATACGTCATAGGAATACAAATATTTGAGCTCGTACTGATGTTTCATAGATGTGGATTAGGAAGAAGAAACTTCGTCAAATTTGTTTTTTAGAGGCTTCTTGTAGTTTGGCTAATGGGTACCATCGTCTATTGAGTTGATTTGCTCATTCAAATTGAAAGAGGAAATGCTGCATAACTAATTTAGTTATGCATTTGGTAATGATTTAAGATATATTCATAGACATTGTAAACGAGATTGATCATAGCAAGTTACTTACCACTTTTCAGGCTATTCGTGCTGTTTATTATAGAAAGTTACTATAATTGACCTTTCCTTAGTCTGATATAGAAGAAGAAAACACATGAACAACAACAACAAACCCAGTAGTTTCCCGGGAGGGTAAGATGTACGCAGTCTTACCCCTACCCCTGGAAGGGCAGAAGAAGAAAACGCAATAATTGTTTAAAAATTAAGCGCGCAGAGCATATAACCAACCGCACTCCATATCTCTTTCTAGGGTCTCATTCTCCTCTCTTCTCCCTAAACGAAGGAATTAAAGTGATAGAAGGACAAACAAGAGTAGCAAATACTTCTTATTTTGTGCCTCACACAACTGAAGGCCTCTTTCTTGTCTCACAACTGTGTGGTCCCAGAATTTTTGTGGACCCAGATGTGTAAGATATGGGTCCACAAATATGTGTGATAAAAAGAGGGCTCACACAACTAGTGTAAGTTGTGTGAGACTCAAAATAAAATCACTTCTTCGCACAGGATATCGGGGAGAACTTTATTGTAAATGCCACCCATTCTCATTGTAAATTTCAATGTGTGACGTAGAACTTTGTCATTTCCTAGACTAAGAATGCAGAAAAACCAAATGAAACGAGCTCTGGGCGACTTCAAAATCTCTTCTGTAAATCAGTACATCAGTTTTTTATGGGCCAGTTGTACAATCAAGTTCTTTAAGAAGCCAAGAATTTCATGCAGATGGGAGGAGTTACTCTGGCCAAAGCAAGAATAGATGCAGGAAGAATCCATAAACCTTCTCCACAGATCAAACCAGAAGCAACTGCTGGAACCATCACCTTAGCCTTCTTAGAGTTAAGTTTATGCCACACAAATACAACCAGACTACCTATGCACATATCAATACCAAAATATCCACCAATAAGAAAAGGCACCGCCATCGCCATAGGCAGTGGCATCCATTTCCCTATCTTCTCTGGAGAAAGATCTTTCACCAAGTTTATTGCAACAGCAAATGCAAAGAAGCCATAACACAACTGCAAGCAGTGTTGAGGCAAAGCCGAGACACCTTGAACGCTAAGAATCGCCATGTTTCGATAAATCAGTGCATAAGGAGCCTTGAATTCACCATTGGGGTTGCCAATATCAAAGGCATTGTAGAACAAGAAGAAGCTTAGTGGCCCAATTAGACAGCCTAAAGCTGTCCCAATAGCTTGGCTGAGAAACATAGTCTTTGGAGATGTCAAAGTTAAGTGTCCTGTCTTAAAATCTTGCATCAGAATGCAAGAAATGTTAACCACTGACTTGATCAAACCACAACCAGCTAAACCAGCAATTACACCATGTTCTTTACCAGCCAATGCAGCCATCATAAAAAGTCCAACTTTTCCATAGTTATAGGCCATGTTTATATCAGTCAAACCAGAACCATACGCGTTGCAGAAAGCTAAAGATGGAGCAAAAAGATAGGCTATGATAACCCAATACCATTTGATCTCATGGAAAATTAATGGAATCATAATCACAGCAATAGTTCCCAAGGCTAAATACCCTACACCTCCAAACCACATTGGAATGCTTTCTCTAACAAAGGCCTCATCATATTTTACATCCCCTGAGTTCTTGTTCTGTCTCACTCCAGCTGCTGAGATATTAAGAAACTCAACCAAGTCATATACTTAATCCTCAACAACAACAACAACAACAACAACAACAACAACCACAAAAAAGGCAGCCAGGTGCACTAACCTCCCGCTATGCGCGGGGTCCGGAGAAGGGCCGGACCACAAGGGTCTATCGTACGCAGCCTTACCCTGCATTTCTGCAAGAGGCTGTTTCCACGGCTCGAACCCGTAACCTCCTGGTCACATGGCAACAACTTTACCAGATACGCCAAGGCTCCCCTTCAACAACAACAACAACAACCCAGTAAAATCCCACAAGTGGAGTCTGGGGAGGGTAGAGTGTACTTAGACCCTACCCCTACCCCAAGGGGGTAGAGAGGCTGTTTCCGATAGACCATTGGCTCAAAGAGACGAAAAAGACAATATATGAGTACCATCAACAGAAACTATAGAAATAATAACAACATCGTAAGTACCAGAAAATAGATGAAAAACAATAACAATAACACGTAAGTAGGGCTCGGTACTATGAATAGTGGAAGAATAGTGTGGACACAACAATAACGACTAGCAGTCTAGGACACAACCCTATCAAACTAGCTTCTCACCCGTACGAAGATACTTAATCCTCATATAACAATTGTAATTAAGCTGGATATGTGATGATTTTTCCATTTAAACTTTACCTGGAGTTTGGTTTTTGTGTTTGAATCTCTCATGAACACTGCCTAGTGTGAAGTACATTATCTTGACAAAATTGTAAAGGCCGTCGCCAAGGAGGAGGGCAATGGAGATGAAAACCTAGACAAGGCAAGAAATATACTAGAATGAAAAATCTGTAGAAAATTAAGATTTTAATTAAGTACTATTAGGAGAAAGAGAAAGAAAATTAATTAACCTTGTAACCATTAAGGCTTTTCATACTGGATTCTGGTATATCAGCAGGGAACCATTCTCCTTTAAGTTTTGCTATGAGAGGCCACATTACACCCCATGAAAGAACAGCCCCAAGAAGCAATGATATGTTCACTATATGAGGACATATCATTCCAGTTCCCACATATGTCAAGCTAAAATCAAAGTAAAATCTACAAAAAAAACAGCAGATAATATATGTTAGTCTACGATCATATGATTAACTCACAAAAAAACAACAACAACAATCCTAGTATATTCCCACAAGCAGCGGCAGAGCCAGACTTTTCACTAAGGGGGAGTCAAAATATAAATAAGTAGGCATGCAAAGAAATCAAGGGGAGTCAATATATAGTATAAATAAATTAAACAAAAAAATTTAACCTATCTATGCAATGCAATTTTTCGACCAAGGGGTGTCAATTGAATCCCCTTGCTAATGACTGGCTCCTCCAGTGCTCACATATAGGGTTTGGGGAGGATAGTGTGTATGCATGCCTTACCCCTACCTAGTGAAGGTAGACAGGCTGTTTCTAATACACCCTCGGCACAGAAAGGTGAGAAAAAAAGAGGATATTAAAGGAAGAAAAAAAAAAAAAAAAGAAGAAGACCTACGTTTGTTTCCAGGCTTTCAATCCAAAAGTAGGGAACTGTTGAAATCCACAATCCTCTTTGCCAGTATAAAACCACTGAAAGAAAGCCCATGAAAAACTATAGCTAAAAAACTTGAGGAAGCACTTCACTTGCTTTCTGCAAATTAATCAAGAACTTTTATCATCGCATTAATTATTAAGAATTTAAGAATAATAAATTACTTAAAAGGAAAGTTTTTAAGTAGTTTTACCTAGCTAGTTTATCACTCTTGCCATGAAAACCATTAATAAGAACTGCAGTTGCCATTCCAGTTGGAAATGTCAACTTATAATCCACTATCAACACCTGTGTATAAGAACACCATTTAGAACAACACCTGTGAAGGGGAGCCTCGACGTAACTGGTAAAATTGCTGCCATGTGACCAGGAGGTCACGGGTACGAGCCGTGAAAACAGCCTCTTGCAGAAATGCAGGGTAAGATTGCATACGATACACCCTTATGGTCTGGCCCTTCCCCGGACCCAGTGCATAGCGGGAGCTTAGTGCACCGAGATGCCAAGGGGAGCCTTGGCGTGACTCGTAAAGTTGCTTCTATGTGACCAGGAGGTCACGGGTTCAAGCCGTGGAAACAGCCTCTCGCAGAAATGCATGGTAAGATTGCGTACAATAAACCCTTATGGTCCGACCCTTCTCCGGACCCAGCGCATAGCGGGAGCTTAGTGCATCGAGCTGCCCTTTTACTTCATATTTCTATAAGTTCAAATTTATATATTCTTAATAAATTTAAAAGATTTGAAAATCTTAAGAATTTAAAATACCTTTCGAAGAGGAACCAATACGAAAAGGCCAATAAAACAAACTACTAAAAGATAGCCAATCATCCAACCAATCTCAAGTTTTTTATAACTGTTTGATGTATTTCCCATTGTACCAACACCAGCTAACTCATAAGTTTTCTTGTCCATTCCCAATAAATAAGATCCTAATCCACCTGAAAATTCCATTGTATTTCATATCATAATCACAAAAATGATACTCTTATTCACAAAGAATTTCAAGAATAACATAATTAAAACAATACATTTAGTACATTACCTCCAAGAGCAATGCTGTAACATGCAACAGAACATGTTTGTATCATAGTATTTTCCTGTCTAGTAAAAGGAACAGAGACAAAACCAAGCATTTTAACAATCTTGGTCCATGTCTGAATGAAAATATAGGCAAGAAGAGCAGCTGAGACATTGAGATTAGGATTAATTCCAGTTGTGAGATTCATTTTCATTTGTATCACACTGTAAATGCATCCGATTATCGTACTAGCAATGACTCCTCGTATCGTGATCTGTTTAGTCCATGGTTGAATTCTCATCGTACTCTCGGACAATTGTTCCTCCTCCTCCTCCTCATGTTCTTCTACAGCCAAATCGCGAACTTGCTCTAGTTCTGTGTTGTTATTCATGCCTTCTGCTGGTACAATCTGCATCAGTTTAGCTTTTTCTAGTAAAAAAAAATGATACAATTTATTTAAACATAGTAAATTTGTACTAATTAAGATATTTAAATAGATTGAGAAAAGACCTTGAGGAATAACTAGCTAGCTGAAATGTTAGTTAGCTTCAATGGTGGAAGTTAGAGATAAAATAATAACTACTACTACTACTACGTAAAAGGTGAATAAAGTAGAGATATTAATAATTCTTGGGAATTAATGCTTACCAAAAAAGATATCAGACTGAAAGAATGAAACTTTTTATAGTGAAAAATTCCAACTATGTGTTCTGTCTTCAAGTTTACTTCCTTTTCGATCTGGTCCCAGAATTTGAGAATGAATTCTCTCAAACTCAATCTTAAATAACTATTTCGAGATTGTGCATTAGTTTAATATTTACTCACAAAAAACTCCATACTGTAAGTTGTCTAATTTTATACATTTATTTTCTCATATCATAGTACTAAGAAAGAAAATTATAGATCCCGTGCACAAGGTAACCCGTGTTCACGCAAGGTCAGGGAAAGGGCCGCACCTCAAGGGGTGTGATGTAGACAGCCTACCCTAATGCAAGCATTAGTGGCTGCTTCCACCGCTCGAACTCGTGACCTATAGATAGCACGGAGACAATACACAAACACATATAAAGAAAGAAAAATAACCACCATATATGGAGGGAGAGTATCTTGTTGGCATGCAGACCTTATCATCGACTTCTCCATTACAATGATTGAGTTTAATTTTTGTGCACCGAAGTATATAAATATTATTATCATGTTAAATTAACCTATAACGATAAGAAATTCGTTATGACAAGCCTAATATAATGACTTTAAAAAAAAGTAATAACATGTTATAATATCTATAACATAAAATATTTTTATACTTTCATGACTTAAATCTATAAGGATAATGCACTAGTAGAGGAGGTTCTTCCATCATAAAGTCATTCAACTTTTGGCATTTTATGTCTCTTTGTTCCTTTTCTTGTTTTGTTTTTGGAATCTACAAATAAAATGATTCAGAGCCCTTGTAACAAGTAGACACCAATTAGCTATGGATTTAACTGAATTTAATATTTTTATACTAAGTTTTTAACAAAAAGAATTTACCTATGCCATGGGCGGAGCTATGAAAAGCTACAAATATTCAATTGAATCCCCTCGTCAAAAAATTATTTTTCGTAAATAGAGCAACAATGATATTTTATTATTACATATAAACAATGAATTCCTTTGACATAAAGGATAATTTATTGTAGTAGTAAAGGAGGTTTAAAAACTATTACATAAATTTCTAGCTTCGGCATTGGCGTGTGCCTTCCACATTCGTGTTTGAAATAATTCGTTTTATTTGCAAGTACTTTTCAGAAAGGCTATATTCGGATGAAGAAAATTTTATTATGATGATAATTCTTTTTCCGAATATTATGAGAGCTGGAAAAGTCAGTTACACCAAAAAAGATGAATAAGAGATGTGGACATGTACATATGAAAAATTCCTTCATCTTTATTTGATTGGCTAAAATGGTCAAAGAGATTCTTCCTGTTGGTTGCCTTGACAACTATTTCTCCTTATTATATTCTACATAATATGTATTAAATATTTACTAATAGAAAAAAAAATTGTTTCCCCTGTTCAATTTATATGATACTTTTATAATTTTAAAACATCATAAAATGTTTTAAACTATTAAATTCACTCAAATGTTCAAGTTTAAATTTGATATATTATTTCTATTTTAAGCAAAACTTTCAAGTTGTAGTTAATAACACTCAAAGAAGATTTTCTTTTGTTGTATAATAGGAAGTTAAATTAGTACATTTGTATGTAATTAATTAATCTTACATAAAAATGAATGAAACAGTGAGAATACTTTTAAAAAACCATACCACTTGGACAAGTTGGAAGCAGAAGTACAAGACAAAAAAGTTAAAGAAGAAAAGATTATAATTAGGTTTTGGAGAGGAAATCACAAACTTTTGCCACCAATCTGGATTGTGGTATGGTGGTAAGTACTTTATCATCGTTAGTCAGGTTTGAGCTTTGAATATGGAATCCTTTTGTTAAGGAGTCCAAAATTTTGTACACCAAGTAAAAAAAAAAAAGGGAATACTTATGGCCCGAAATTTTCAATTTTTTTCCGAAATTTTTTTACTATTTTTTTTTTGGAATCGGTCTCTCCATGAAAATTTCAAATTTCACTTGAAATTGAATTTCAGAATTTTTCAAAAATTTGAAAAACTCCAAATTATTATTTTTTAAAATTTTCACGTCAAATCACTCATAAAAATTCGAAAACAACTTCAACTTGTATTTATGTCCAAACACAAATTAAATTTTCAAATACCATTTTCATTTAAAAATATTTCACTTTTTTCAGAATTTTACAATTCTTATGTGCAAATGCCCACTTAACTTTTGCTACTTGAAAAAGAAAACAGGAGAGTAAAATGTCTCACAATATCTAAAACGTCACTAGACTACTAGGGAGAACCAAGTTCAGCCTAGCTAATAAGCAGAATCCTAAAACTAGTTTTAAAATAGCCATACTTCATTTTAATATATATACTGGTGAGTGAGAAAAATAATTGCGATATAAAAAAATATTGCCTTGTTTTGACTGCAGATATTCAAACAAGTGGGATATAAATATTTAGGTATGGCCTCTTATTGGACTTTTTGTACTTGGCAATTTAATTAATAGAACAGGATCCAAAACATTGTTTAATGAAATAGTAACAGTGTTTAAACCACTAATTAGGAAACATTTAGCTGAAAATTAGGCATAAGCAAGAGAGGAAGACGTGTAGACTGACACCTAGCTACTTAATCATTCTCCTAACTTCACTAGCAATTAATTGCTTCTTAATTCCAAATTAATTTGGGTTCTGTACTAATCCTCTGTGTCCATTTCGTTCTGTTCAGTTATCAAACGATCCACTATAGTTTAATATATTTATACTAGCTAGTTGTCAACTTACTATAACGCCCAATGATATACAGCGGCATCCTGTTTATTATCACAAATCAACTTGTTTGTTACTCTTTCCGATCCACAATAAGTGATTTTTTGGCTTTATTTTGTGGTCTAAAATATCTGATTTTTCTAGATTTCAAGAATGAATTGATTATTTTTTTCCTACATTGCCCTTGGAGCAAATAGTGTTGGAGTATGTGTTAGGAGTATTTATGTGAAGAGATAGTAAACATTAATATGGTCAAAAAATCACTTATTGTGAACTGAAGGAAGTAGTTTGAGTATCCGGTTGTAAATGTTCTAAGATCTTATCTTAATTATGTTTACTTTATAATATTTTTCGGTGAAATGGAATTGAATAATACACCTAATAGAAGAGATGTGGGAAGCAAGGCTTAAATTGTTTGGACATGTACGGAGGAGCGCAGACACTCTGGTCAGAAGGTGTGAGAGGTTGACATTGGAGGACCTAAGGAGAGATAGAGGTAGACAGAAAAAGAATTGGCGAGAGGTGATTAGGCAAGACATGGCGCAGCTTTAGCTAACCGAGGACATGACCCTTGATAATAAGGTCCGGAGATCAAGGATTATGGTAGTAGGTTAGTTATAGCCTGTTTGGCCAAGCTTCTTTTTGGCCAAAAGTATTTTTTTTTGGCCAAAAGCACTTTTAGCCAAAAATTGAGGTGTTTGGCCAAGCTTTTGGAAGGAAAAAAAGTACTTTTGAGGAGAAGCAGAAGCAGTTTTGGAGAAGCAGAAAAAAGTAGCTTCTCTCCAAAAGCACTTTTTTGAGAAGCACTTTTGAGAAAAATACACTTAGAAGCAGTTTTTTAAAGCTTGGCCAAACACTAATTGCTGCTCAGAAGTGTTTTTCAAACTAATTAGCCAAACACAAACTGCTTCTCACCAAAAGTACTTTTGAGAAAAGCACTTTTGAAAAAAAACACTTCTCAAAATAAGCTGATTTTTGCAGCTTGGCCAAACGGGCTATTAGTTTAGTGCTCTCCTTATCATACCGGTAGTATTAGTACGTACTTTCGTACTTTGTTGGTATTGTGTTTCTTTCATTTCAGTCATCTCACTATCTGGTTGTTATTTATGCTACTTTCACATGGTTTCCCGTTGTTGCGCTTCTTGTTTTTCTCTTCATTAATATGGTGCTTATGCTTTTCTGAGTCGATGGTCTATTGGAAACAACTTCTATGTCTCCACAAGATAGGGGTAAGACTGCAAGATGACACCATTCTACAAAAACAACAAAAAATTCAATACAATCCTACATAGTGAGATCTGGGAAGCATATATATATATATATATATAAAAAGTTAGGAATGACTGTGGTTTGCAAAGCTCGCAAAGGTAGAGTTTCTTTCTTCACTTTTACTTTCTTTACTTTTTTCATATTAAATCTCGTTCCAAGTGTCAAGTAGCTTCCAAATGGTAGTTAAATTAAATTATGGTTTTTTTTTATTTGTGCCTACCTCCACTGCCATTAGGATCAAGATCACCTTGGAACAAACAAGAATAAATAATTGAAATTTCAGAAAGATGGTACACAAAACCAAGTGAAAATACAGTTTATAAGATTGTACTTCGAGTCAATGGATGCTGAACAGCTGAAGTTATGGGCATGGGCATGGCGCAATATGAGCAGGGCAGACATACCTTACCTAAGCGATCTCACGTGACACCACTTCGTAAATTATTTTTATTAAATATATATATAAATAATATGAGTACAAATATAAAAAATGGCAACGCTTGTCATTATAATGATTTATTCGTTTCTTTATATTTCCAATTTTGATATCATTATGAAAAATCCTGCTGCACTATATATGAGCAAATACTTTGGTTGTCAGATCGGTTTGCTTGTTATTGCCCCTTCCCTCTCCCCTTCCTGAGCCAAGGTTTTCCGGAAACAGCCTCTCTGCCTTTTTAAAGGCAGGAATAACGTGTGCGTACACTCTATCCTCCGCAGACCCCACTTGTGGGACTACACTAGGTATGTTGTCGTATATGAGCAAATGTCATATGGAAAATCAAGAAAACAATGTGGAACCCCACATGGAGTTCAATAATGGATGTGAACTGGTGGACTTGCCTAGTAAACTCCTAGATATTCATATATTGATGGTTTTGCGTTACATGTAGTCTTCCTAATCGGAATAAATAAGATTTAGGGTTAACAAATTTATCATAATTATATTATTTACCGTAACTTTTCTCTTTTATTCTTATTTAGTGAAACTCACATAAACCAAGCTTGATTTGTTATAGGTATAAGTTGTGTCAATTTGATAAATGAGTGGAATTAATTGAATATACATCCTTGTTGCCTATAGAGGTTGAGCACAAAGTTATTCTCATAATTTCCACAATGACTTGTATGGTTAAAGAAAATATATAGAAGAATATTTATAAAGGTGGAAAATAAAGAAGGGAACGAAAATAAAAGATGTTTATTTGGGATTTGAAGTTGCATCAGTGTCAACAATGTCTACCTTAGAAATCGAATAGAAACAAAAAACGAATATGATATATAGTAGTTGATTGATTGGTAAGAGATGCAAACATAGCCACTTGATGGATGCTTCCAAATCTGATAGGGACAATGTTGCTCTTTAAGTCAATGGTTTATATCAATTTGCAAATATAGACAACATTTTTCCCAAAACAATTCTTCACCAGTTTACCTTCCATCATTTCATCAACTTTTGTTGTTGTTGTTGTTGTCGTCGTTGTTGTTGTTTTGAGTAGGTGGAGACACTGATCAGAAAATATTCTTCATTTCAATTGATACGACAATCTTTTTGTTTCATGACATTTCAAAAGATTTGATGTTATTCTTATAATGATATTACTCCTATTACAACTTTCACGATTTTTATTTAAATTCATTATCTATTTAATGTCGAGAAATAACCTTTGCACCTTTGTGCTCTGTTGTATTGCTATTTATAAGATGATACAGAGCTAGTTATAATCAAACTCTTCACTGAGATAACAATAAGACTCCTGCTCTCAATCTAATTGCAGTTAGATACACTCCTATCCAAACCAAACTATAATACATTAACAAGCCCCCTCAAGTTGAACATGGATTAGTAGAAATGTGAAGCTTGTCACGAAGAACTGAGCGGCGGTGAGAAGATAAACCTTTAGTGAGAATGTCTGCAAGTTGCATATCAGTAGAGACGCAGGGAACCAATATAGAACCAGCAGCAACACGCTCTCGAATAAAATAAAAATCAATCTCCAAATTCTTAGTACGAGCATGATAAATGGGATTGGTGCATAGATACAAAGCACTAACATTGTCACATGGCACCAAAGGAGGATTAGGGAGAGGTATATCCAAGTCACGAAGCAGATGTTGGAGCCATGATAATTCAGCTACCGTGTGAGCTAAGGCTCGATATTCAGCTTCAGTGCTAGAGCGAGAAACAGTAGGTTGCTTCTTACAACTCCAAGAAATTAGATTTGGTCCGAGGAAAATAGCAAAACCAGTAGTAGACCTACGAGTATCAGGACATCCAGCACAATCAGCATCTGAGTATGCCGTGAGAGAGAAGTTTGAGGAAGACTTCATGTGAAGGCCAAGAGATATTGTGTCAGCTAGATAACGAAGGATTCGTTTAATGGAAATAAAGTGAATGGTACGAGGAGTACTCATGAATTGAGAGACAATATTTACAGCAAAAAAAATATGAGACCTAGTTATAGTTAAATACTGCAAAACACCCACAAGACTACGATATTCCGATGGATTAGAAAGTAAATCCCCCTCAGAGGCAGATGGTCGAGAACCAAATGTAGGGGAGTGGACATGTGTGCAACCAAGTAAGGATGCTCGGGCAAGGAGGTCACGAGCATATTTTCTTTGAGATAAATGAAGTCAATTTGATATTTTTGTAAAATGGATACCCAAAAAGTAATGAAGAGGCCCCAGATCATTCGTAGAAAATTGAGATTTTAAAATATGAATAAAGCGGTTAAGAAGAGTTATATTAGAGCCTCTAACAATAATATCACTACATAGAGAAGAAGAATAATATAGTGAGAGTCACGATGAAATACAAATAAGGAAGTATCTGCACGACTATTATGAAAATCATAAGACAGAAGAAAGGAGCTAAATTGAGAAAATCATGCATGTGGAGCTTGTTTAAGCCCATAAAGAACTTTTTGAAGTTTACAAACATGAGTAGGAAACTTAGGATCTGCAAAACCTTGAGGTTGAGACATATAAACCTCTGCATTGAGAAAACCATGTAAAAAGGCATTTTTAACATCCAACTGCCTAACATCCCAACCGCGAGATAATGCTAAAGATCACTAAACGGATAGTAGAGGGACGAACAACTGGACTAAAAATTTCACTAAAGCCAATGCCTTTTTGTTGATTATAACCCTTTGCGAACAAACGAGCCTTGCAACGTTCAAGAGACCCATCAGCCTTTTGTTTGACTCGTTAAATCCATTTATTTCCAGTTACGTTCATATGTGGATGGTAGGGTATAAGAGTCCATGTTTGATTTTTAAGAAGGGCATTGAATTCCTTTACCATTGTATCACGTCATTTAGGATCTTTAATTGTAGAGGAAAAACAAGTGGGTTCAATGGGAAGAGACTCAAGGTGAGATGTAAGAAGAGCATATTTGGGATTTGGTTTATGAGTACCTACTATACTTCTCGTAATCATGGAATGAGAAGAGGAAGGTAAAGATGAGGTAGATGAATTAGATGGCTGATAAGCTATAGTTGTTAAACTTGGATTAGTTGTATCGGTGGAAGATTGAGGCGTAGAGGAAGTAGTTGGAGAAGTTGAAAAGGAGGAAGTATAATTATCTATATCCATAAACGGGGCAGGAAAAATAAGGGAAGAATAAGGGGTGATTGAAGGAATATCGTTCGAGCCACAACCTAATGGAAATACATGCTCTACAAATCTAACACTATGACTAATATAAACTCTTTTTGTAGTTAAATGCATGCACATGTAACCTTTGTGGTTAGGACTATAACCAAGAAAAACACACGCAGCAGATAGAGAAGCTAATATATGACAGCCATAAGCCTGAAGAGTAGGATAACACAAACAACCAAAAGGATGGAAAAAAAATAGTTAGGAGGAGTATGAAAAATCAACTCATATGGTGACTTATTATGTAAAGGAGATGGTAATCGATTAATGAGAAAGACATCAGTAGAAAACGCCTCAACCCAAAGACTATGAGGAGCTTTCGCATGAAAAACCATCGTGCGTCCCATTTCACTAATGTGTCTGTGTTTTCGTTCAGACACTCCATTTTGTTGGGGCGTATGAGGGCACGATGTCTGGAAATGAATACCATGAGTAGAAAGAAGGTTAAGAAATTTGGTGTTAGTCTACTCACCACCACCATCAGAGCAAAAAGCTTTGATGGTAGTAGAAAATTATTTTTCAACTAAAGATTTGAATTTTTGAAAACAATCAAAAACTTCGAGTTTAAAGCGCAACGGATAACACCAGACAAAACGTGGAAAATCATCCACCAAAATTATATAATAACGATAGCCACTAACAGAAAAGCAATGAGAGCTCCACACATCGGAATAAATTAAATAAAAAAAATAATAGTTTGATTTAGAGTGACTAATAGGAAATGGCAAAGTAGCATGTTTTGAAACTAGGCAAAAAGGACAATAAAATTGCCTTTCATTATTTCTACTAAAGGAAATAAATTTAATAAAAAGCAAAAAATTTAGAACAGCAATTCCAGGATGACCGACTCGGGCATGCTAAGTGTCAATTGATTCACGAGATGCAAAGAGGGCGGACGAGGATGCGAATCTGGAAGGGGACGGGCTGAACTTTGATGAAGAAGCCACCAGAGGATAAATAGGACTATCACTAGGGCATGTGAGAAGTAGTCTCCCGGTCTTCAAATCCTTAACAAAGAAACCCCAAGAGTGAAACTCAATAAAACAATCATTATCTTTAGTAAATTTTTTAACAGGTAGAAGATTCTTACGTATGGAAGGAATATGTAAAATAGAGTTTAAACGAAATGTTCGAAACAATTGTTGAACAATCAGTAGAAGAGATATGTATCTGATGTGTGGCTATAATTCATGGTTTAGCACATTATATGCCTTGTGTTTTACATGCTTTAATGTTAAATTATACTTTGTTCGAGCGTAATGGAGTCTATTTTATGTGTAGGTGCATTGAAAATGAAAGTAAGCTAAAGGGATGCTTAAACGTCGAAAGTGCGCTCGAGAACGGTGAAAAGGAGAAGCCGGGCAAAAGCCATCTCGACCAGGCTTTAGCCTGGCGAGGCCAGCTTAAAGCCAGGCCCAACTAGGCGTTAGCCTGACGACGATAGCTTAAAGCCAGGCCCAACCAGGCATTAGCTTGGCGACGCCAGCTTAAAGCCAGGCCTAGACAGGCGTTAGCCTGGCGACGCCAGCTTAAAGCCAAGCTGAGGCTGGCGTTAGCCTGGCGACGCCAGGACTAAGGCCAGGTCCAGTCCGAGTTTTGAAGGTTTTAATTGTTTCCCAGCTTGACTAGGAGTTGACCTACACGTTTAGGACTTGTCCCAAACATATAAATAGACCCAAGAATGCCACTTTGAAGAACTTTTGCAACCGGAGGCAAGAATAGCTCGTGAAACACTACTTGGGAGTTCGAAGCATTGATTTCTACATCCCTTTTTCCTTACTATGTAATTTAATTGTGCAAATTACTTTGGATATTGCTATTATGAGTATGAGTAGATGCTTCATAATCTAGGGTTTTGATGGAACCCGTTGAAGGATAATTTTCTCATTACGTTAATATAGATTTGCCATAGTATTCTCTCTATTTGTTCAACTATATGCTTATTGTTGTTGATTGAAGGGCCCTCAATTAACTTTTCCTATTTAGTGTGCATTACTCGGAGAGAGTGCATATTTAGGTAGTTGTTGAACATCATCACTCCTAACGTATATGGGGGATCAATACGAAGGGTTTAAAGGTGAGATTAGGGATGACGAAACCTTGGGTGCGATCTAAGTGAGCTACGTTAAGGCTAGTGATAGGTTTTAAATGTCCTTGCCTTATGTTTTGATGATCTAACAAACCTACTGTCAAGGACCAGTTAGGGAACTTGACACACTCTGCAAGTTAACCGATTCCAGCTAAATGTGAACTGCTATAGCTTCAGGAGATAGAGAACCAACCAAGGACCTGATACCCTTGTAGTTCCCTCATAGCAGTACGAAGTCAATTGGACACAGCTGGAAGCGACGTGACTGCCTGCACTGTTTCTGCCTGCACTGTTTCTGCCTGCACTGCACTGTTTCCAGTGGCCACTTATTCCTTGACCAACTAAAGTGCTCACATCATTTCAGGTGATGTCATCAAGGTGTATCAACAATGAGTTTATATCAAAACATCACTTGAACACTTCTGTTTCTCATTCAAGCCTTTTGCAAAAACTTGAACAAAATTCTCAAGAGCTTGAAGAACAAAGTTAAACGCTACTACGGACCAGTTCCTAAAGTTAGTATTTTGTTGTCCTTAGTTGAGTTGTAACTTTGTGATTGTTCTTACCTGTATCTCCTATACTGCTTAGCTAGAAGCGTTGATTAGGAACCCTCTTGTAAAATCCGTAAACTCTCTGAGTTTATGTTGTGACTAGGTTTAGCCATAAATTAAAGTCTTTGTTACTAGAGAGTGACAAAGTGGCTTGTGATAAGAGTATCACAAGTTAGTTGAGGTGAATTCTTTGTAATAGAGTTATTACAAAGTGGCTTGTAATAGGTGTTTACAAGTTAGTAAAGTTGAAAGCCTACAGGTGTAGGTCGTGATTTTTTCCCCTTGAGTTGGGATTTTTCCACGTAAAAATCCCGCGTCTGATTTACTTACTATTTTATTGGAATTCTCAGTACAACCTCATAGAGGACCAGGTACTCTACTGTTTGGTGGGCTCATACAAACTAAGAATTGGTATCGGAGCGGGTTCCTCCTATGAGGCTAACACCTAGGAAGGATACTTATGATTGCTCCACCAAATTTTGAAGAAGGTCAATCTACATACCGACCACCCAGGTTCAATGGACAATACTATGGGTGGTAGAAGACAAGAATGCATGATTTTATCATGGCTGAGGATTCTGAGTTATGGGATGTCATATGTGACAGTCCTTATGTTCCAACAAAGGTACTGGAAGAACTTCCATTTTCAATACCAAAAACTAGTAAAGGATACACTGACGCAGACAGGAAAGCTGTGGAGAAGAATTTTCGTGCCAAAAAGATTCTGGTATGTGGAATAGGACCTGAAGAATATAATAGATCTGTGCTTGTGACACTGCGAAGGAGATATGGGAAGCCTTGCAAATAGCTCATGAGGTAACCACCCAAGTAAAACAGTCTAAGATTGATATGCTCACTACCGAGTATGAACTCTTCAGGATGAAGGACGATGAATCTATTCAAGATATGCACACAAGATTCACCTCCATCATAAATGAGTTACACTCACTTGGTGAAACCGTTCCTAGGAACAAGCTAGTGAGGAAAATCCTCAGTATTCTGCCTAGCCCTTGGGAAAGCAAGGTGAATGCTATTACTGAATCAAAGGACTTGCAGGAGCTGACCATAGAAGAGCTGGTTGGAAATCCGAAGACCTATGAGATGAAGAG